ATGTGGACGACAAATTTAAGAAGAAGAAAATGTCGAAGTTCGCCTCCAAATATCTCATTTGGCAGGCCATCTGCTCTTGCGGACTGAGGAGTGAGCCTTTCGTGACAAAGGGCACAGTAAATGGCGAGATCTACAAATCTGAGTGCCTCGAGAAGCGCCTTTTGCCGTTCTTGCAGCAGCACGACGAAGCTCCGCTATTTTGGCCAGATTTGGCATCATGCCACTATTCTAAAAGTGTCCTGGAGTGGTATGAGGCCAATTCTGTCCATTTTGTTCCAAAGGACATGAATCCGCCAAACTGTCCGGAGCTGCGCCCGGTGGAGCAGTACTGGGCAATAATGTTACTGTCGACGTCTGTATGCAGCGTGCACAGCACACTTGATCGCCGCGTGGAGTGACGGTCTGATAAGTGTGACCCAAGTCCCCGGCAAAGTGACAGATCACCTTAGTTTCACGTACCCCCTTGCAAATAGTAGATGGCACCACACAACGTACACAAAGGGATTGTGCTTCACCGCCGCAACGGTTCCAACTAACAAATTTCGCAAGGTAAACGCTTAACTCATTTCCTTTATACAGCCTCAAGCTGTATTCAAGCGTTATACGATATGAGGAAACCTTTACTTAACCTCTATACAAGCAAATCTGGTGAACTTAGTCAGCTACTTATGGCTGTTGTGACGGTTGGGACAAGCTCTTATTGCATATCGATTTACGCTTCTATACCGCGTTATTCTGCTGTTTAGTTGTGTGTGAACTTGAAAGGCGCTTACTCAACCTTTACCCGATTATCCAATAATCACTACACAGGTTTCTCTTGACGCCAAGTTAAATATTGTTTACGCTGTTTTTGTTGGAGGAATTTATCAAGTTTATTTTACTGCGAATCAAATTAATCAAAAATTAGTTATAAGCACACCACCAAATTATTTTCACTGTACCGGAACCTGGAATCGAACTCAAGACGACCGCAATTGGCGAACCTTGATACTACCAACTTCGCTACGCCAACACTTTGAACTGACGTAAACAAATTTATATGCCCTTCAACAACAAGATTGCTGAGTAGAGGCTTTATAATAGTGCACATTAATCACTTTTCTCGACTAAAGGGTGTCCACGATGAAATTGCCACACTATGAAATTGCTCTAACTTTTTAACCGTTGGGTAGAATTTAATGAAAATTTGGGTGGATTTAGTTCATAGTGCATTATTTACATCCTGCAAGTTTTAAAGTCCTGTGATCAAAACTCGCGGAAATGGAGTCGAAATAACAGCTCGTGCGTGATAAAATCTTGCGCATTCATCACGAGAACAAGGATCTCTCGCATCGTTCCATCGCTAAAACGTTGGGAATCGCGAATTCCACGGTGTCGCGAGTGATTAAGCGGTTCGAGGAACGGTTGACCACCGATCGGAAGCCCAGAAGTGAAGGAAAAAGTATTCCGTACAACACCAAAAATCACAACCGCGTAGTTGGGGCCTTCAACCGAAATCCGAACGCCTCCGTTAGGGATGTGGCTAAGAAGCTGCACCTAAGCCGAAGTTTTGTCCAGAAGGCCAAAACTAAGGCTGGGCTTCGAACGTTCAAGGTACAAAAGGCCCCTAATCGCGACGAGAAGCAGAACAAGTCCGCCAAAACCCGTGCCAGGAAGTTGTACCTCAACATGCTGACGAAAGTTGAATGCTGCATCATGGACGACGAAACATATGTGAAGGCCGACTTCAAACAGATCCCCGGCAACCTGTTTTTCACGGCCAAGGATAAGTTCAGCGTTCCGGAGCATGTCCGCACTCAGAAGATGTCCAAATTTGCGAAGAAATTCCTGGTTTGGCAAGCCATCTGCACGTGCGGGAAGCGGAGTGCACCTTTCGTGACCCAGGAAACGATGAACGGACATGTGTACATAAAAGAGTGCCTCCAGAAGCGGCTGCTTCCTCTCCTGAAGGCCCACAACGTCCCAACAATCTTCTGGCCGGATTTGGCCTCACGCCACTACTCCAAGAACGTGCTGAAGTGGTATGCGGACAATAAGGTCAATTTCGTGCCGAAAATGTTCAACCCTCCCAACACTCCGGAGCTCCGCCCCATCGAAAAGTACTGGGCGATTATGAAGCAGCACCTTCTTAAACGACCTAAGGTAGTGAAGACAGTCGAGGAACTGAAGAAAGTATGGGTTTACATGCAAAAAACGGTTGATGGAAAATGGTTGCGTATGGACTGTAAATAAAATACGAGTAAAATGGTAAAATGAAGTTTAATAGTTATTTCTCAATCCCTGAAAATTTGATGGCAATCGGATGAAAACTCGAATTTTGCGAATCAATTTTGTGTGTGGCAATTTCATCGTGGACACCCTTTACTAAACATATAGTCAAAGGTTTTATGTGTCAAACACTTGCCTTTCAACCTCTTGTTGTACCTAAAAAGTACAAAATATCTTTATAACATCTAATGATTCCAAATTTCCGAAAATATTTTTTTATTGGAAATGAGTGGAAGCAAGCCTGGCTGAGTGTACAATTTATTCCCACTCCCGCTCTCGTTAATCTGACGACTCGATAGTTCAATATCATGGTCTGTTATAAAGCTTTTTTATACATTAATTTATATGGATTTGACAGCCGGATTATCGGATCAATTCCACTAATCCGGCCACAAATTTGTCGCATTAGCAGGTAGATACTGTAACTACGCTCTTACTCGCTGCAAATCCATTATTTTTTGGCCATCATCGACGATAATAGCAATAGCGTCGAAATCACCGAAAGTATCCTCGTTCAATTCTCATTTGGTTTGATTAATTCGAAATGCTAACATTAAGCTTTAGTGTGATGATTTATTAGCTAGAGAATGATCTTTAGAAGAGGGTAGGTGGATAGTTCCGTTAGAGTACGGCAGTATGAAAATTGAATAGAAGTTGAAAATGAGCGAAGGGCCATTAATGCGACAGTTTTTTAAGATCGACGCACATTTTTGCCTAACCCGTACGACCTGTGGAATAGTTCTAGCGACGTTTTCATCACTACACATCACAAAAAAAAAACACTTTGAATGTAACAACTCAAGGCGGGAGTAGCCGTCAACAATGCTGATGATGGTACAGCACGCAACAACCACCCTACTGCCTTCTCTCTGAGATGATCACGTTGGTCATGACGAGAGGAGTAACACAATAGTTGGGTAAAGAAGAACTGCATTATAACACACCATCGACTGGAAATGCTCTCGCAACGTGGGGCTTTAGGTAGTGATGAAAACGTCGTTAGAACTATTCCACGGCCGCAGTCAGTTTATGAGCAAAAAGAGGGACGCACATTTTTGCCTGTGGAGTTGGAGACAAGTCCCCGCGTACATCGTACGGGTTAGGCAAAAATGTGCGTCGATCTTAAAAAACTGTCGCATTAATGGCCCTTCGCTCATTTTCAACTTCTATTCAATTTTCATACTGCCGTACTCTAACGGAACTATTCACCTACACTCTTCTAAAGATCATTCTCTAGCTAATAAATCATCACACTAAAGCTTCATGTTAGCATTTCCAACCAACTCTGAAAATCGTTAACTTCGCGTATGAAGTAACATAAAAAAAAAAAACACTTTGAATGTTGATTAATTCGATGACAATCACATATTTTCGTTCAAAAAATCATACGTAAAAGCTTTTGGTTCTGTTCTGCTCAAATACCAACGAGACTATCACCCCTATTCTGTATTTCGTTTCGAACGAAATTCTCATACAAAAAAAAAATATTTTTTTGTATGAGAATTTTGTTCGAAACGAAATACAGAATAGGGGTGTATATACACAACACCAGAGTTTTTAAAGTGATTATGAATTGTGCATTCGACTGGAAATCAAAACGACATTCCCCGCTGGCATCACTGGACTTCCTATGTTGCTAATGTTTATTGATACTAGAGAGGGTTCAGTATAAGGGAGGAGCGGACTGGTTGGTTTTGAGCCAAACGAACTGTCACAGCCAGAGCCAATCGAGCAGCGCCTATCTTGATTGCATTGGCAGTGTTGCTAGAATTCACCTAGGTATAGGTTGCCAAGGCAGTTTGTTTTGAATCCGTGCCTCTCTTATACTAGACCCTCTCTAATTGATACCAACGAACTATTTGTTTGCTTTCGCGATCCAGGTTACTCTGTGACTGCTCCATTTTCACTGCTTCACTTCTAAAAACTAACTTTAAACTCACTGCGCAAAAATTGCCTGTTTACAACTTCAAAGTGCGCCATTTTGAACTTAGGAAAAGTTGATATCAGAACCATTTACCCAGAATCTGGGTAGATCCCACTCATCTGAGCAAAACCAGTTTACTATTTTTTTGAAAACTCCATACAGCACGCAAAATTGAGTGCCAACAAGAACATAGGCTAACAATTTCTCAGCTGAAAATTTTCTCATACCTATTACAAATTTAAGCTCTCAAAAAATTAAAGTTTCCAATGTCTATGATCTTTAATTAAGGGCCGTGTTCAGAATCCTATTTATAGCGGAATTGGTTCTAACGTTGGCCTATGGATCTAAGATTGGGCTCATCGCTAAAAAACTGCTATTTATCAATTTTATCTGGATGAACGCGTCATTGGGATGGTACTAATGGACATTTTTGATCGCTATTGAAAATTTAGTAGATTGCTGAATTTATGTATGGGCCCAAATTAGGGACATTACATCGATTGTCCCTATTATCTTAAAATGAAAGCCTGAAAAACAAAATTAAGACGCACTAAACTAATGATACGGGGTATAAAATAATTAATGAAATTACTGGTCCCAATGGATTTATGTTACAAACAGAAAAAAAAGATCACAAGGTATAAACGAACTTGATGAGTTAATATCTAACTAAAATGTAAATGAAATCGCAACGATTTACCGGAGCTAACAATACGAAGACATGCAACTCTCTTTCGATCTCAAGTGCCCAGGCAATAAAGTGACTGAGTTAAGAAACCCCAACCCCAAGCCCCCATCAGCGACTCACCCATGAAGATATCGATCAGCCTGGCCGAAATCTTCCGGTGCCTGGGAATGAACAGCGAAAACTGCTCCTGCCGGCCCAGGGACATCGGAATCCTCAGATCCGGCAGGGCGATACCCCGAACCGGGATGCGTTCCTCCGCCAGTTCGCCGAATCGGTTCTGGATCTCCGGTCCGATCGGCCGATAGCGATCCGTCAGATAGTTATCCGGCACATCGAACACCGACTTGCCCTTGCCCATGAAGATGGGTTCCCGTGGGCGGTCGTACAACAGCAGCAGGTTCTTCTTGTAGTTCATCCTGTTCCGACGACTTTGGTTGTAAGCAGAAAAAAAAACAAATCGCACGCTCGCGGTGGCTGTCAAACTGAAACTGATGACCTCGGGATGGGAAAGGGGACGCTTTTATAGTGTTTCAGTGCGTGTGCATGGCGACGCGTCATCTGCGTTAACCGAGGCCATGGACACTATCAGCGTGATTTGATTTCGGCCGACGCTGCAGCCCATGGGGCGAGGTCGTTGCTTTATCCAGCTGACCGCAAGTTGTGATAATGACCTTTTCGCAGCCGCCGCCGCCGTCGTTGTTTCAAGTGATGCGTAAGAGCTTACTGATTTTTATTTTTGTGGCAGTTCTAGAGAACATGTGAGAGAAATGGTATGTCTAGAGCAGATTACGATATGAAAAATATGGAAGGCGGAAGTGATTCGACAACCGCAGGTTGATCTTCATGTTTGAACTTGCGATGAGATGTGGAACAGGAGGTAGGAATGTTCTAAAGGATAGCACTGAATCGAGGGGTTTGGGGATGGCGAAGATTCCTAAAACGATATATTTATCGGGAATATTTCAAGTGAGTTCTGGAAAACAAACATCCTTAATATGATACTTTCTATTATTTATAGAATGCTCGTTAAAAATTAAATGTCATATCAGCACTTTGATTAACAACTTTCCAACGGCAATAAACTTTAAAACTAATTATCGATTCATTTCCCCGTCACCACCGGCATCATCCGTCAGATTAGCGTATTAATTTTTCATCATCTGTCAGTTGCACACCTACCGTGTCAGCCACGTTCTTTATGTGCTGAGAGAAAAAAATTGGATTAATTCACCTATGGTGAGATCTGACCCTTCTTGCTAATATAAATTCCAACAAAAGTGCTCATGTGATGTGATGTGAAAGATAATAGTAGTAGTTAAAATTTTGTTTATTGCTGTTGATTATGGTAGTACATTGATTTATCATTTTAATTGATTAGCCTACCTGGCTATTCATCTTTGTTTAATTTGATATTCTAATTTAGTATTTCCGTTTTTCAACTAGTTTACAGAATACCCCTTTGGGGATGTGTTTTATTTGAATTGAAAAAAGTGATAACCTACCTAACTACGAGTATAACTTAACCTAACGTGCTAGATCACGTATGATCTGATGATTTGATCTCAGACAGGTGTCTCTGAACCTTTCCAGGATGAATACTCTCCGTTCTTCTAATGTCTGAATTCCAACCAGAAGGTGGATCTCAGAATTTCTAGTCCGCGGGGGACTGTTTAGGACCATCCTAAGGATCTTGTTCTGCATCCTTTGGAGTTTAAGGTGATGGCATTTTGCGCAACTCTCCCAGATTGGCATACCATACTCGATTACAGGAATGATGATTTGTTTGTAGACAGCAAGCTTATTTTTCAGGGACAGGGTTGACTTCCTGTTGATAAGTGGATACAACGATCTTAGATCAAGATGTTGCACTTGGTTTTCGTTTTGTCAACGTGCTCCCTGAAAAGAAGCTTGCTGTCTAGTGTCAGCCCGAGGTACACGACCTCTTTGGACCATTCCACCACTGTGCCGTTCAGGCAGATCTTGTTATTCTCCGACGGAACAAGTCTAGGAGATTTAGAGTGTGGAAAGATAATGACCTGGGTCTTTGCCGCGTTGATACGGATCTTCCAGCTGTTGAAATATTCAGACAGGACGTCCAGGCCTCTCTGAAGTTTGGCAGTCATAGCTCCGATGACTCTACCCTTGTAGACGATGGATGTGTCATCCAGCAAACAGAGACAACGATCCACCATCAGGGAGAGCCGGCATATCGGAGGTGAACAATTGTGCTGCAATTTGAACACCAGGCCATCATGCCAGACATAGTCGAACGCTTTTTCAACGTCCAACAACGCCATGGCAGATGTTTTCGAAACAGACTTGTTCCGTCTGAGAATGTTTGTTACTCGAGTCAGCTGGTGGACGGTCGAACGACCTTTCCGAAAACCAAACTGTTCCTCGAGTAACAAGATGTTTTCTTCGGCAGATGTTAGGAGCCGGTGGTAGACAGCTCTTTCGAACAGTTTTGATAACCCTGAGAGAAGGCTGATTGGTCGATAACTTGAAGGAGAGGACGGATCCTTTCCAGGTTTCCGGATGTGTATGACTTTAGCTGACTTCCAACACGAGGGGAAGTAGCCAAGTCTGAGTCACTGATTAAAAATCAGAGATGGTTGTAGAATCTGGAACTCAAGTGTTTGAGTTCCAGATTCAGGATGTTGTCGAAACCTGGGGCCTTCATGTTTTTAGATGATTTGATATAGGCCAACAGTTCGTCAGCCGTAATCTCGGATTCCTCTGGAAAAATGTTAGGAATCTGATGAAGATTGGTTGCATTTTCAGTAACCTCAGATTCATGAGGACTGACGATGTTTTGTCCGAGATTATGGGAGCAGACGAAGTGTTGACCTATCGCGGCAGCCTTCTCTTCAGGAGTTATCAGATGAACCACTGGGTCGCCGGGACGATCCAGTGGGGTCAGTGGTGGAATGGGCCTAGGCTTGTTTTTAAGAATTTTTGTAAGTTTCCAGAAGGGCTTAGCACAATCTGGGAGAGAGCGGATCTTACTAGCAAAATCGTTATTTCTGAGATCCACCCTGAATGATCTTTGCTAATCGATTACAATTGGTCTTCAAGTAAGGCAGGCCAGTACGCTGGTGTTATGGAGTCTAATGAGATCTTTGGTAGGGCTGTAAAGGTTCAAAGTGCTACTCACCTGTCTGGATACTGGCACGTGTTGTTCCCTGGCCCGGGAAATCGCCTCCTCGATGGTTTGTAGACACCGGTCAACATCTTCGGACGTCCCCGGTTGGACATCGTAGTCGATGGTTGTGTCGACGCAGTATTGATATTGCGCCCAGTTGACTCGATGGTAGTTGCGCCGAAAAGCTTCGAATCGGTTTACTGAGGATGCAACTTCGGCCACCACCGGGTAGTGGTCCGAGCTCAGCTCCTGGAATGCCACAGGTTGCGAGATGTTGTGTCCCATGTTGCTTTCGAAGATGTCGATGGTCGCATGGACCCCAGACCGACTCATCCGGGTGGGAGAGTCCAGGGCCAAGATGGTATAGTGGCCCTCTTGCAGGTCTTCATTGAGGATGATGCCGTTACTATTGCTCCGACCGTTGCCCCAAGCTTGGTGTTTTGCGTTCAGATCGCCAGCGATGATAAAGTTCCCGCTCCTCCGGGTGAGTTTGATGATGTCTTTCCGGAGGGCCACTGACGACCCGTCCCTGATGTTGGTTTACTATTACGTTCCAATTTGCTATTTTTATAGCTTCACGGTCCATACTTGGTGACGAGTGACAAGGCAGCATGAAGCTGTTCTGATCGAGTCTTGCAGGTGCGCAGAATGACGATCACCTCTGCAACCAGCGTTACTAGTTCCTCTGATGTTAACGGAGATTCGTCAACTGAGTCACCTGAGGCAACACGGGCAAACGATAGTCCAGGCGCCGAGGCAGAAGCTTGATTTGGCAGAGCTGCAGCAGCAGTGAGGCGATGCTGAGCTGAGGGGGCGGCTCGTTGACTGTTGTTGAGAGGTAGCGGTGGAAGATTTGGGACCAAACGACGAGGATGGATTGCCGGGTATTGTTCGTCCGTGATGGCTGGTGGTGCACGTTTATTTCGATGCCAGCCTGGCTGGTTGCTAGTAGCCACCTTCTTCCTCATGGTGATGAATTCCGTTTGCTTGGGGCAGTCCCGAGTAGTGACACGGTGAGTTCCGCCGCAATTCACGCACTTCGGGTCGGTGTCATCAGCTTGAGCACAGGTCGCCGTCGAGTGGGCCATAGCACACTTGTCGCAGCGTGGTTTCATATGACAGTTCTTCGTACCATGGCCGAAGGAGAGGCAACTTGTGCATTGGGTCACATCGCGGTGTTGCGGCTTGTATTATTCCTAGTCGATAATGACCTGCAACAGGTCACGTATGTTGCTCTTGAGCGCAGCAAGGGTGGTGGAGCCCTTCGTGAGGTGGACCAGAAACAGTTGGTCACGATAGTTGGTATTGGGCATTAGCCGTCGATTAATTGGGTGGACTGCCTCTGGTTTCAATCCGAGCCTCACCAGTTCATCTTTTACGGTTGCCGCTTCGTACGACGGCAGACCTCGTAAAACAACCTTCAATGGTTTCATCGAAGGCAAATCGTGAGTGTAAAACTCCACTGTGCTGTTCTTCAGCAAGTCACCGACCGACTTGTACTGCTGTAGGCTGGAGCACATGATCTTTGCTCCAACGCTACAGATTTTGAATCGCGGGAACAATTTGCGTTTTGCCAGCTCATCCCTACACAGCAAAAAAATAATTTTGATATCACATCAAAGTGGATGCACTACAATCATGTCTAAAATTTCATGTAATTTTTATGACCACATAAATAAACAAATGCAGTAAAAGCAGCGTAATGTCAGTTCATGCATTGTATTAATGATAATTTTGTCCTTTTTAGCAAGTAATATTACACCATATTTTCGACATGATTGTAGTGCACCCACTTTGACGTGATATCAAAATTATTTTTTTGCTGTGTAAGCTGGGCGACGTCCTTCATCGGGGTAAACAGCGGGAAAATCCGCTCCTTTTTTGCAATTTCAGCGGCGTCACCACCGCCATTTTCTACTCCGAGCACCGAAAATTGGTTGCTCTGTAGCATTAAATTTGCTGCGTCATCCGAAGCAGTGCTGGGATCCGTTTGGGCCTTCTTGCTAGAGCCCTCCGATGCAGGAGCAGTAGTATAGGTACTGCTAGACGGTCTAGCAACGAATGATGTGAAAGATGAGCTGTCGTGTGATTTCAGGCTATCCTGGGGTACCCGGAACACAGATGCGCCAACTTCATGGAATTATTGAGTGGGAGGGGACAATGGCAGGAGATTAACCAGTTAACCAATTAACCGATTCCACAAATATTCAATAGCGTTGTTATGGGACCATAGTACCTTTCATAGCAATTGTTGTGTCTAATCCCTTTCATTGGTTGCCTAGAAACATGAATCCCAATATTTTTCCACAACGGTTAAAAAATTGGTTTTCCAAGTGGTATGTATACCCTTCTCTGTAAGAAGAGTAAAAATGGCACTTCGATGTCGTTGATGCTGCAGCTGGTATGGTGAAAAATCATTTTCCCATTTATCGCTCGGGCCGGCCTTTCTTAAATCAACAAGCTTTTTGCTAAACTTCTACGCCTGGATGTATGCCGAAAGGCTATAATATCACTCGGAAACACAATTTTCGATGTGTGAGTCATGTGCAAATCGACATCACAGCGAAATGAATTGTAGATTTTTGTCTGTTTAATTAACATTAAATATCAATTTTTACAAATTATGGTCCCACGCTCCTGTCAATTTAAATCCATCGGTATGCACACGGCCGATGATAGTAGCTCAGTAACAGAGTCGAATTCAAGTCAAAATTGCAAAAAGTGAGTAAAATTATTCTTTTTTTCCGGGAAAAACTGCTTGAATGTTAGGATTTTTTTTGTGTCTAGGAGTATACCAATAGACTGAAGAAATATCTCTCAATTTTCCTCATATTGAAGAAGTACTTCCTGGAAAATCGAGGAAAAATTTACTCATTTATACGAGAAACTTTCACCATGTGGATTAATGTCGACTGTATTTTTCTCTTTCCCTCGCAGATATATCGCCATTGTGCATCCGTTGCGGCATCGAACGTCTCGGAAAAAGGCGCGCCTGTTCCTGCTGATAATCTGGGCGCTGAGCTGCGTCCTGGCCGCACCCTGCCTCATGTACTCGACTGTGATGACAAAGCGGTGAGTATCGGTCCCGGGAAAGAAAACACAATCGGGCGCAATGGGATGGGATGTTGTTATAATGCCTGTCGTTGTTTGTCAATTTTGTTATCTTATGGATTAGTCAGCTGAACATAACTTGGCAGAACTCATCGGGACATGTGCCTAGCGAGCGATGATGCTGTAGTGGTTAATGATTCAGAAGGCACGGATACCGAAATTTATATTCCTATGGCCATGAAATTTGAGTATTATTTTTCCAGCTAATCCTATGCTAATTTATTCAGTGTTTGTTTATGGCGGAATGCTCAAGCCAGCATTATGCTGGATTTAATTCGTGACTGGAACTGAACTTAAATTGAAGATTTTTAAACTACTTTCTTCATGGCCTATGATGCTTAAACATCTTGGAAGTATGATTGAAATAGTCTCTGTTCATGTGCTAAGATCAGCGTTTCTCAATCTATTGATGAATCTACGTTACGGTCGGCCAGCGGATGGAAATGATGTGAAAATGATAATGACGTTTTGCTAGCTGTCAAATCGTATGGAATATTTTTTAGTACATCATCACTTTTGTGGTTTTGGATTTCAAACCTAGGTGTCGCATGCACTGGTGCAGTTTCGCGTAGATTCATCAATTGATTGGGAGATTGACGTAAAAGCTCGACGCAGATGTCGCCACTGCATGATGATGATAATGTTGACAGACTGCATATAAAATTCGTGAAAATTAGCATTAAATCATAATTTTCATCAAGCCTGCGTAAAATCCTTCCAATATAACATTTGAATTGAAGAAGAAAATGTTTTCACGATCAGACTGATGTGCATCTTTGACTTTTCCAGATGAACTTTCATAAGATATATTCATTTTATTTCACAGCTCTATCAACGCTGCATCGTACATATGATGTAAACAGAAGTAAATTGCTCAATTACTCAAAATAAAGATGATTTGTCATCGTGTTATCACTTTATAAACCATCGAGCACCATTCGTTGCGTTTTCCGTCGAAAATTTTGAGTATCAATATGTTTACCTAAAAAAGGTCAAAATATTATTATACAACCATTTCTCCATTATCACCAGCATGATGCAATCTTTTCTAAGTAAATTCACTTAATTTCCACTTTCATCCTAGTGTAAATTGCACATACTCACCATTTTCCGAAAAATGCAGCTGCACAGGAGGAAACCTCTACCTGTGGGTGCAAACTTGTTATGCATAATTTTCCATGAAAACATCTCCGATCCAGACCGAAATAATAACAGTTAGTTTGCAAACACGTTCTATTACACGATTCAAGCAAAAGTTTCCACTGGAAATTATTAGTTTTTCTTTATGTACCGATTTGCCCCAAAAATCGTCCGTTTTACTTGGAGAATTTGGAAACTATCCTCCTTCTATTGTTTCTCACTTCGAAATGTAGGTGGCAAAAGCTTGGAAAAGTTTCACTGCAAGACGCCAATTAATCTACGCGAAACTGCACCAGTGCATGCTACACCTAGGTTTGAAATCCAAAACTACAAAAGTGATGATGTACTAAAAAATATTCCATACGACAGCTAGCAAAACGTCATTATCATTTTCACATCATTTCCATCTGCTGGCCGACCGTAACGTAGATTCATCAATAGGTCACGGCAGTGCTGCAAAGTCTCGACAATACATGGCGATATTCAAGAGTATCTCTTCTAATAAAAAAGATGTTCCCAATTATAGTAAAAAATATGAATAAATTCAAATTGATTTAATTGAACCCCGAATTTAATTTAATTTGAACCGCTCGTATCTCGTGACATTTTTGGGAGTAGTAGTTATCCAGCACTTCCATGGCCAATCTGTAGCGGTTATCTAGAATAGCCGACTCACACACGGTGACATCCCGTGCTATCTTTCGGACGTCTGGCCCACCGAAACACATTAGAGCCTTAAACATCTCATCGTGATCATCGATGCCTTTCAAGATCAAATAGGAAACGAATTGATCTTTCCATAATTCCCAGTGTGGTGTGTACTCGTCGATCCGCCGCCGATTTCAGAAAATGGGTGGTTGTTGAAATTCCACTGTAAATTATTATTTTATTTATTATTATTAGAGTGAAAAATACTGACATGTTTACTCATTAAGTTTGATTGTTGCTCAGCAACCTGTTCTCTCCTGTTTTGGAGTCATCAACATTTCGTATGAAGTTGTCATAGCAACGCCCAAAATTTTTCCCATGTTTCGTTTAACGGACCGGAATTATGTATTACCTTCGTTTTACTTTTCTCTAGCGCTACGGACCGGATTATTTTACACGGAATTTCCTTCATTTCTTCGTAAGAAATGGGCTGAAATTTCCATGAATCGCTTCGTTCGTTTGGACAGAAACGGGTCGGAAAATTCCCTGCGTTTCTAGCTGGAGAGTAGACCGAAATTGCTTGATGACATTCCCTTTACTCCAGGGGCGTCGCGTACCTCATTCGTTTTCTTAACTAATTCAAGTTGAACATTGCATTAGGTCCTAAGTAAATTGATCGATTCTCTTCGTCGACTTTCTCTTTCGTTAAAAACCTTAGCACATAGCCATTTCTTGTTGTGTTTGTCGTATTAGATACTAGATAAAAGCTTCTTTTATCGATCTGTGTGCTGAAAATACCTGGGAGTGTCTTTACATAGCCGTGGAGATACAAAGAGAAAGTCAACGGAGAGAATCTGTCAATGTTACTTAGGACCTCATGCAATGTTCAGCTTGAATTATCTTTTCTATTAAAAAAAAAACTATCCGTCAAACACTTCCGAAAACATTTTTTGATACAAAACAGTGTCAAAATCTAGCGAAAATTCATGGAGTCCCCTGGGTAGCAAACTCGAATTAATCACCTCTTTATTCGACAGAACAACACTTTCAGAATGCACCAGGGGAAGCTTATAAGTTTTGACAGGCGCACCGGCACAACTATCGGTAAATGAGAGATTCACAGCTGACAAGAGAGTGAGAGCGAACTTTTGCGCTCTCTTTCTCCATTACTCTCTTCGTCTGCAATCACACGGCGAATGAGAACGACTCAAATTTGAGTTTAGTTCACTCATAATCGCCAAAAGTGCAGGAACTCAGCGATGAGTTAATTTGCCCAATGTTTTCCCAGGTTTTTCCAGGATTTTCCAGGGAAAAATTCCTGAATTTGAGAAAAGTAAAGATTGGATTCACTCAGTCTATTGGTACTACTCCGAGACTGAATAAAATTTTCGTCAATTTCCTCATTTCCCGGCAGATTTTTTAGGTTTTCCACAGGAAACCATGAGACAAATTTTACTCATCGCTGAGTTCCTGCACTTTTGGCGATTATGAGTGAACTAAACTCAAATTTGAGTCGTTCTCATTCGCCGTGCAGGTATCCAAGTGCACAGCAAGAAATGCACGCTTTAGGCACCCATACATCACAAATGTTGTTCTAATTTAAACTCACACATCCAAACCGGTCTGCAAGTATGATAACGTCCAAAGCGTACCAGACCGCTGTTTCCGGGTTGCGCCCGTTTGACGAGTGACTGCTGAAAGTTTCAATTACAACGAGTGGTACAAATCGCCATGTACTGTGGAAAATTTGTGGTATGTTTCAAGAGATGATAGGAGGTCTGCTTGGCTTCCATCAGGCATTTGACCATTCACAAACTTACCACCCGCCACCCAAAAAAAGCTCGCTCTTAGGTGCACTATTTAACGAGTTTTGTCACGGTAGTGTTATCGACATGCTTAGAAATCAATGCATTAGAGATTAGGCAGACCATCAGAACTGAATTTAATCCTTTTGAAAGCAAACCAAGGTTGAAGATTTAATTGAGTCACACTATAAAATAGTGTGGGTCACTTGTGGTCTGGAGTAAAGAATTACAGCTATAATGTGGCCATAAAATCTATAATTTACACCTGTGTCGTGCACAGGTTGCACATTAGAATGATGCAAAATTTGAAATTTTCGCTCCACAATACTTAAACGATTCCAAATCGGATCCTGATCATGATAACCTCTCAAAATTTGAACCCATTTGGCGAGAAACTGAGATGGCACAAACCATTTGAAGTTTGTATTGGAATTACTATGGTAAAACCAAGATTTTTGTTCATTTCTATCTAATAATTCACCATATCTGTCTGCTTCAAAAGCTTTCAACTGTACTTGTAGGAAATACAACTACAACAACGAGCTACAACTTTGCTGAAGACCACTTTTTGCAAGGATGCAAGTTATCAATGGTTCAATGCGCTGATGTCTTATGATCATGCTCAATCAACTGCTCAGCAGGCAACATTGGTGTTTCTGGGGCGTTGAATAGGACACAAACATCATGGCTACTATGTCACACTGCAAAATACACTGTTGTCTACAGAGCAGCTGCTTGATCATGTCATAAGTTTACCAATCTCTTAAATAATTAATAACTTTTTCCTGTCTCGTTTTACATAGAAACGATCTTCAGCAAAGTTGTAGCTGAAAATTTTCTACAAGAATAACTATCGAACTGTTTTGCAGCTCAATATGGAAAAATACTAGAAGGCAATGAACAAAAAGTTGAGATTTTCCATAGTAATTTACATGTAAACTTCAAATGGCTTGTGCGAAGTCTGTTTCTAACCAAATGAGTTGTAACTTTGGGAGGCTAATCAGGACCCGATTTGAAACCATTTAAGCACTGTGGAGCGGAAAAGTCAAATTTTGCATCAGATGTGGACGCGACGTCACTGCTTTACTCTCTACTTTACTTAGGGGCTCTGAATTATAGTTTTCCTTCACCGATTAAGATTTTGTGCTTTATTTCACTATCACTTGTTTTCCAAACACCCAACCCCACAAATTAATATCAAAAATATTGTAAATTACCGTAGCCATTTCTCCAGCACTCTGCTTTCGTCTCCGGACTCGTCGGCAATCGTCGCCAATTTTCAAACATAGACAATTTGCTGTTACACATTTTATCGAAGGCATCGTGTTCGGAGTGTTAAATACATAGCCTCCAATTACAAATTCCACA